GAAAAATGGGGGGATTGGTAGAGCATGAGTCACCCTATCATACTATTATATAAACCAGAGTTTGTTTGTCTGACCGCTCCCCAAAAATTCGCAAGTGTCCCCCACATGTTTATAATTTTTCCTTCAAAAATCAAATGAGCAATCTTGGTGAAAAAATTCACTTTTTCGTCCAAAAACATCCAAAAAACCAGGTAATGGGGGTTGAATAGACCATAGATCACCCCCCTATCATACTATTATATAAACCAGAGTTTGTTTGTCTGACCGCTCCCCAAAAATTCGCAAGTGTCCCCCACATGTTTATAATTCTTCCTTCAAAAATCACCTAAGGAGGGCGGGTCAAGTTTGCAATGGATGTAGCGTGAGCTTGCGGGAGAGCAGCGCTAAGTGTGCGATTCGCAGGTTTTCAAAAAATTCTCCCCTGCCACCCTCACTATGATTGATGTTTCTATACGTAGCATTTGATCCTGAGACTCCTTGACACGCTTAAACTGTTCCCCGCAAAGGGGGTTGAGCGGGAGAGGAGGTCGGGGACTTTCCCCAACATACTTAACCTTGCTTTTCCTAAATTCAATTCTCCCCTCCCAACTTCGAATATGCGACCCTCGTTCGAATGCACATGCGCTGTCGTATACACAACAATACTTATCGATTCAAGAATAAATAAATTTTGGCAAGTTCCGCTGCAGCGAAATACTACACTTCTACTAAAATTAGCGGTAAAGAGAAGGAAGTTTGAACGCAAACTCCCGCATTTTTGCGAGACTCAGGTCAAGATTATCCCACGAATAAGTCTGTTCTCGGCAGCCGTCTTTCGCCTTCGCTTGTGTGCAGCTGAAACAATATATAATATAAATGGATTGGACCGGTCTTTTTGCCAGCTTAGGGTTCTCATAGCCGTTCGCTAACGGAAAATGTTGCAGTGTGTTGGAATATCCCATGTCATGTAATGACTGTAGACGTTGACTTTTCATTCCGGAAGGAATTTGCATAATAGAAGTGCAAGTTCTTTCATTTCTCACTTATCTCACTGCGCACTGCTACTACTTTATCTTTCTTTTTAAGGTGCCACATGATGGAATTTGGATTGATATGAATGAGCCGTCTGCTTTTGGCACCAATGAAAAAGTTCCGTGGTACTTCCAAATGAAAGATCATCCCAATATCGAAGCGCTCTGGTGTCCAACAAATTCAACGGATAGGCAATGGGAAGTGCCACCTTTCCAAACACACTCGGTTTATCACTACAAATATGTGAGTCTTAAAGGAAGCGAACACGGTAAGGGAGGGCAGCATTGGGAGAGCACATATATGCGCAACACATAAAGCAGTTACTTAGCTGCTATGGAAGCAAAGTGTGGCACTTTCACGATGGAAGATATCCTGGTTGCTGGGCAGGACTCTCGAAGCACTCCGCCCCGAAAGCGTTACGCCCACTAATTCAGTAGGTGACTTGGGCTTGCTGTTGGGCTTTCATTTTGGAAGATCATTTCCCTTTTAGCGGCTCTATGTTACAACTTACCTATGTAATGCCTTATCAATCAAAACACAGTGCTTGTTGGCATGATGGCGGCTATCGGGGTTAAAGGAATCTTCCACGGACCGTGGACCAGTGGGCGGGAC